CTCTCTCTCTCTCACTCTCTCTTTCTCTCTCACTCTCTCTTTCTCTCTCACTCTCTCTTTCTCTCTCACTCTCTCTTTCTCTCTCACTCTCTCTTTCTCTCTCTCTCACTCTCTCTTTCTCTCTCTCTCACTCTCTCTTTCTCTCTCTCTCACTCTCTCTCTCTCTCTCTCTCTCTCTCTCTCTCTCACTCTCTCTTCTCTCTCTCTCTCTCACTCTCTCTCTCACTCTCTCTTCTCTCTCACTCTCTCTTTCTCTCTCACTCTCTCTTTCTCTCTCTCTCTCACTCTCTCTTTCTCTCTCTCTCACTCTCTTTCTCTCTCTCCCTCTCTCTCTCTCTCTCTCTCTCTCTCTCTCTCTCTCTCTCTCACTCTCTCTTTCTCACTCTCTCTCTCTCTCTCTCTCTCTCTCTCTCTCTCTCTCTCTCTCTCTCTCTCTCTCTCTCTCTCTCTCTCTCTCTTTCTCATGAGAATGAAAACGAAAAATAAACACGCGCTTCCTCTCCGACAAGGGTGAAGGACTCTTTGTGACGTTAACAGACGTGGGTGACTCTTGTTAAGTGAAATATGGCTTAATACTAAGTACTCTGAGGTTTTCCGGCCGTTAAGCGAGCATCAGAATGACTAGTTGTTGCGTGCAAATGATATCAAAAGCAGTTTGGTTCCTCTTTACTTATATAGTTTATTTGATGCATTACAAAATAAGAAGGAATCGTCCCAATATAGAAGGTTATTTCAGCACTAAGGTAGCGGAATAGATGTTCCTCTTGTTGTGTGCTATATATGTTAATAGATATGGTATAGAAGGGAAGTATGATATAAAAGTTGCAAGATCTCATTAGAAGTAACTATCAGGAGAAGATCAGCTGATTACTAGTCCCCTGAATAATAATTTCGAAGGAAAATGTCAACTGAAATTCGGAAGCTGAACTGTTACATCACATATAAGGAAGTGCTTTTCTCTAATGCATCATTATTGTCACGTGGTATCTTTGGATTATTTGTTATTCACATTTAATTCTACGTGAACACGGGGATATGAACTTCATGGCATTACCGTGAAGTAATTCAATATTTTTTAATGGAAATTTTGTCGGTCTAGAAATACATCTGGTTTCAGTTCCTTACCTTATCAATGTTTGTATCTGCGGTATTTAATGCTGAGGAATAAATACATTTTGTCTTGATAGAAAAGAAAAATCAACAAATAGCTCATCAAAAGAGATTCAGTCAAAATTGAACTTTCCAGTGATAAAGATATGAGAGAATAAAAAAAAAAAAAAATCCACGAAGCCAAGTGTGTAACTACTGTCTCGATCTCATAAGATTGTTAAATGTGATTCTGATGAAAAATGAATTCAATTGATAAATCTGACCCACCTTGCATTATGGAATTTTTCATTCTCGTTCACGTTTTTTTCCTGCAGTTTTCAAATGTTCTTCACAGCCTTTCCCGTTCGTTATTCACGTCAGTCGACATTCGTTATTTTTTCTTTCTTTTTCTTTCTTTTTCATAATCTGTTCCACCTCCAAATCTTGTGACAGGTGCATGAAAAAATAAGTACATTTTTCATACTGTTGTCATATAACATAAAATGACGTTTCTATAAATACGTCCAGTCTTTGGCGCTTTCTTGCTCTTGTATTACCGAAGTAGAAAACGGCGTATTCATGACTTAACATAATACATGCATATTATACATCGGTTTCTATTCTTGGTAGATTTGTTTCCTTGAGAGAGAGAGAAAAAAAAAAAACAGCTGAATTTGAAGCTACTTTTACCAAGGGAGTTGATTCATGCTGTTGATAACCTTTCGTACTTATTCTTATAGGTATAGGTATATATGGGTCCATATTAAAGGTCAGAACCAGTGTGTAGTATATTTATGAACGATTTCTGCTCTTGCATACTCTCACTCACACACACACATACACACACACACACACACACACACACACACACACACACACACACACACACACACACACACACACACACACACACACACACACACACACACACACAAACACAGACACACACACACACACACACACACATATACATACATATAGATAGATAGATGATAGATAGATAGATAGACAGACAGATCGATATAGATATACATAAATCTCAGCCACATGTTGACACTGCTTCAAACAATTCGTTATTTCCGTTTCCCCGGTCCGTTACGCTTCCTGTGTATATGAAGAGTGTAAACTTTTTCATTTCCATTCACAAGGACCCTGCAGAAGTATCAGAAAATTTTAAACAGCAGAATGGAGAAAAGAGAGGAGTGAGTATTGAGTACATCATTAATCTTTTTATGTTGTTTTGCTGATATATATGGTTTGTTATGTTATGTCTGTACATCGCATAAGGGTGGAGATAGATATAAATGACGAAAGTGTTGGGATACCTGACTGGAATTTATTTCCTGGAATAGAAGGACAAGGATTCTTGTGTTTTTTCTATAACTCGCATCTTAGGACATGAGGTGTAGTGTGTAATATTTAGTGTACGTCGGTGTTGGTGACTAAATACTAGCAAATGACTCTCATTCTGATATGATGTGGAATGATGGTAACATATCCGAATCTATGAGGATTTTTTTTTCCCTGATTTGTCTGTAGCTCTCATTAACAGATGAAAAGATATGTTGCATAATATAGAATATACTGTGTATAACTAAAACATAGGTAGAACATTACGTTTATGGTGCTGCGGGTATGTTCAACACTTATTATACATATATTCTTTAAAAAAAAATCATTAACGCTGTAGCAGGCATAACTGCCACACGCCGCCTGTAGTACGTACATTTCATAAATGTTCTTCTACCTTTTTATGCTTTTAGGCCGTGAATCTTAAGCTAGACATGTTATTCTCCCCATCGCCCTGACTCAGAGTCTTTTAACAGACGTGATTGCTATGGGGAAGGCGAGTATTTTAAGAAAAGTGGCAAGCCCGTGTCTTCCTCCCGACAGGAATGGGCTTTCTTGGGCACGACTTCACGACCTGGCTGACGTCATCATCCACACACGCACACGCTCAGAACAGACAGACATGCAGACATAAACTAGTATAGTTTTACTCTCATTCCTTGATTATCATTGTCATCTAGTCCTCCCCCCCAAAAAAAAAAAAAAATCTACATATCAAAATAATCATTTAATGATAAAGTAACAAATATATTCGTTAGAAAAACCCGCGAGATTATTGAGCTGGGGAAAAAAAGGCGTAAAATAAACGGCCACTTAGCTATGCTTGCTTAGGGGGAAGAAAGACCTGCTGGATATTCACCCTGACTAACCACTCCACAAAAAGAAAAGAAAAGAGAAGGAGAAAAAGATAAATGGAGAAAAAAATAAAAGCATTCGAATTGATTGCCGGAATGACGTTGCACATAAGAACGCAAGGAACACGTAAGTTGATTTATTTATTCAAAGTCTTCTCTTAAACGCCAATACTGCTAATCCTCCGTCTGCACCTCTTCTGCCTTTGCCATGATAACAATGCGAACTGCAAGGTCGCCTCTATAATAGTGGTTATGGATGCGGTTACCGCGGCACACACACACGTACACACACACACACACACACACACACACACACACACACACACACACACACACACACACACACACACACACACACACACACACACACACACACATACACACATACACGCATATACACACATATACACACATACACACACACACACAGACACACACACACACACACACACACACACACACACACACACACACACACACACACACACACATACACGCATACACACATACACACACATACACACATATACACACATACACACACACACACACACAGACACACACATACACACACACACACACACGCACGCACGCAGACGTAGATGCTTCCAGAAGGTCAGATCTAAAGACGAAAGACGAATGATAATGTCAGCCTTGCATAATTTCACCATAATTCGTCGATGATTCTTTTCCAACCCCAAAGTTTATTATTATCTTTTTTTTTCTAATTCTTTTATATTTCAAAATCTTGAATCCAGCTCCCCACCGAATCCTTTTTTAATCACAGTCTTGAATTCTAAAATCCTCTTGTCCGAAAAATTTTCCCATATTTTCTCACCTCTGAATTTGAACACTCTTTCCTCGATCATCTCTTTCGAATTCCAGAACCTTAAAGCTAATTCCCGTCGGCTGGGAATAGCATTGGCCAGCCTGTGTCATCGCCTGGAGGACAGTGGGATGTGAAGGGGTAGGGGAACTGAGCACCAGAGGAGTGGCGGACGAGGATACTATCTGGGGAGGGCGTGGGGAAGGGAGGAGGGATGTTAGATGAAGGGGGGAGGGGTGTTAGATGAAGGGGGGAGAGGTGTTAGATGAAGGGGGAGGGGGGGAGAGGCGTTGAACAAAGGGGGCATTAGAGGAAGGGAGGGGGGGAAGGAGGGGGTATTAGACTAAAGTTTTGAGAGACGATAGATGAAGAGGCGGAAAGGGGGAGGGGCGTTAGATGAAGTGGGAGAGTTAGAACAAAGGGGGAAGGGTATTAGACGAAGGGGAAAAGGTAAGAAATCAGAAGAAGGGAATGGTAGAAAAAAGAAATGACCGCAGGGTATTGGGAAGGGTACGAGAATGGAACACCAAAAAAGAGTAAAATTGGAGATAATCTTGTACCCCAAATGACAGAAAAGCAAAGAACCATGATCAAGACCTGGCTAAAGAAATATGAAGACAATAAAACAAAGAGAGAGGGAGAGAGAGAGGGAGAGAGAGAGAGAGAGAGAGAGAGAGAGAGAGAGAGAGAGAGAGAGAGAGAGAGAGAGAGAGAGAGAGAGACAAAAACAGAGACAGAAACAGAGACAGAGACAGAAACACAGGCAGACAAACAGACAGAAGCAGAGACAGAAACAATGAGAGAAAGGCACATACAGAAAGAAAGAAAGAAAAAGAACAGGGAAAGATAATAAGGGCGGGAGGAGCTAGTACCAAGAAGAGGCTTGTGACCCACCATTCCCGGGGACATCAGAGGTGGGAGAGGCTGCTCTGCTCAGATATTTAAGCAGGTAAGCAACTCGGCGGAGGCAGTCTGTCGGTGTCCTTGGTAGGATCTTCATCATCATGGGGTAAGTTCCCTCCTGAAAGTCCCGCTTTGTTCAATAGAGTTTTTTCGAAGCTTTATACGTGATCTCTTTTACGTGGTTTATAGTCTTTTTACGTGGTTTATAGTCTTTTTACGTGGTTTATAGTCTTTTTACGTGGTTTATGTAGCTCTGTGTGGTTTATGTAGTTCTGTGTGGCTTATGTAACTTCGTGTGGTTTATGTAGTTTTATGTGGCATATGTAGTTATATGTGGCATATGTAGTTTTATGTGGCTTTTGTAGCTTTACG